CTCTCTCTCTCTCTCTCTCTCTCTCTCTCACACACACACACACACAGAGCACATGTGTGAGGTACTCTCAAATCACAGGTTCTAATCGTGGTGCTTGTCTGCTTAGACGTCTTCAGTGTCTGCCTCCTTATAGAAGAATGAAGACAGGGCAGGGAGAAAGCCGAGGCCAGGGGAGCAGGACTGGAGGCTCTGGAGCATTTCCTTCCCTGTGGCTCCAGAGCAGGGAAGGCTTAGCAAATAGTTCATAAATGGATATAGGAAAACTGATAAGGAAAAACTGAGAGCAGGGAGAGTTAGAAAGGGGGGATAGGAGTGGAGAGACAGAGAGAGGCCCGAAGAGGAGAGGTACAGCAGACAGGGGAGAAAGGAGGAAAAAGAATGAGGAGAGAGAAGCGAGGAGGAGAGAAGAGGGGGGGGAGGAGATAGGAGAGATCATATTTTGCTAGGCACTGAGAGCCATCAGCCTAGCAGCGGATACCATCATGTTCCTGACAGAAAGGTGGAGGGGCAATACCTTCAGCTCCTCCTCTCAGACAGCGGGAACCCATATCTCTCCTGCTCGGATTTGTCGGAGCATCTCTCCAGAGAGGGGGACAGAAACCCAGAAGGAAAGCAGGAAGAGCTCTGGAAGAGGACCCTTTCCATCTTGGCCCTTCAGAAGCAAGGGCACCAGCGAGAGGAAGCTGGGATCCCTTGGGCCTAGAACTTGGTTTCAGACTAACGCCTGGCACTTAAGTGTCTGACGCTTCCCCATCCCCACCTGAAGCTGAAACCCAGAGCTGTGTGCAGGCCAGACAATCATCTTGCCACTGAGGCCCAGCCCAAGTGTTTGATAAAAGAGGAAATTTGGGAAAGGTATGGTTCCAGGGTTGGATGGGGGTAGCTACTTGGTCTATAGCCAACCCCCCACTCAGTGAAACTATGACTTCAGGGGCATCTGAGACAGGAAGGGAGCATCCTCAGAGTCAGAAGCTTTAGACAGACAGACAGACAGACAGACACCGACTGGAGGCTGTCTGATAAGAATAAACCCCACTCTCAAAAGCTGTCCTCTCTTGCCGGGCGGTGGTGGCGCACGCCTTTAATCCCAGCACTCAGGAGGCAGAGGCAGGCAGATCTCTGTGAGTTCGAGACCAGCCTGGTCTACAGAGCTAGTTCTAGGACAGGCTCCAAAGCCACAGAGAAACCCTGTCTTGAAAACAAAACAAAACAAAACAAAACAAACAAACAAACAAAAAGCTGTTCTCTCACTTCCACATGCGTGACATGGCACACACACAGTGGATGGATGGATGGATGGAAGGATGGATGGATGGATGGATGGATGGATGGATGGATGGATGGATGGATATTGGAACTGGAGAGTTGGTTCACAGTTAAAAGAACTTACTGTTGGGGGCTGGAGAGATGGCTCAGTGGTTAAGAGCATTGCCTGCTCTTCCAAAGGTCCTGAGTTCAATTCCCGGCCACCACATGGTAAGCCACCACATGGTGGCTCACAACCATCTGTAATGAGGTCTGGTGCCCTCTTCTGGCCTGCAGACAAGCACACAGACAGAATATTGTATACATAATAAATAAATAAATAAATAAATAAATAAATAAATAAATAAATAATTTTTTTAAAGAATTTACTGTTTTTAAAAAGGACCTGGATTCGTGTCCCAGAATTCACATGATCATACTCATCCATAGCTCCATTTCCAGGGCATCTGGTGCCCTCTTCTGTCCTCCATGGGCACAGCAAGCAGATGGTGTACATACATACATGCAGGCAAACTCTCATACACATAAAACAAAATAAACAAATTGTGCATATATATGTACATATATATTAAAAAGAAGTGTACAAACTTGGAAGAGACAAAAAAAAAAAGCACATCACAGAGCCAGACACAAGGCCACATGCCTGTTGTCCCATACTTGTGAAGCTGAAATAGGAGGATAACCAGTCAGAGGCCAGATTGTCTCAAAAAAACAAAACAAAAAATGCAGAGGAGCCTGGAAAGATGGCTCAGAAGTTAAGAGCACTGTCTGCTTTTCCAGAGGACCCAGGTTCAATTCCCAGCACCCACAGGCAGCTCACAACCATCTAAATATCCAGTCCCAGAAGATCTGATGCCCTCTTTTGGCTTCCATGAGAACTAGGCATGCACATGGTACAGTGATCTACACGCAGGCAAAATACCCATATACATAAAATAAATAATTTTAATCAAAATGAAAAGGAAAAATATGAGCAAGAAGGTGAGAGATGGAGAGACACACAGAGAAGGCAGCATATTTGAAAGGTTAGAAAACAACCCCCACAGGCCACTGAGTATGAGACAGTCCTTTCTCTTGCTGACACACTGACTACTTGAGGAGACAGCCATTTCTCAGAGAAAACAGACATATGGTTCTTCCTCTCTCCTCTTCATCCCTCACTGACTCTCACTCTCAGACTCAGACAGGCTCTGTCTCACATCCACCATTCCTTGTACACATTCTCCTCTCTCCCTCCCCCCATTTACGTGCACACACACACACACACACACACACACACACGAAGCTCTAGGGTCCCTATTCGCAGTCTGTCATTCTGGGCCTGAAGCCTGCTTTGGGCCACAGCCAAGTTCTCAGACTCTCCTTTTGGTCCAAGAGAAACCAGGTGCATTACAGCTCAGTTCCCCGGATGGTGCAGCCATGTGCTTCCAGGCTGTCTCCCCCCTTCCCTCCCTCTCTCTTCTCTTCTCCTCTCTCTCCCCCTCCCTCTATTCCTCTCTCTCTCTCTCTCTCTCTCTCTCTCTCAACACAGCTTTCAAGCCTGCCCAGAGGGAGGAAGCCAGGATTGACCCTGCCTGCCGTGACAGGTGGAATGGACCCAAGACAGGGTTCCCTAGAGTGTTACAAGCAAGGCTAAGCTATGGCTCAAAGGACAGCTATGAACTGATGCAGCCCAATATAAAACCAGAAACTTAATTAAAACACCGTGAGATGTTTGCTGGATTGAATGAATTTTGTAAGAGACAAAGACATGTCAAAACACTGGAAATTCCTGGAGCAATACCCAACCTTCCTGCCTACCCTCACCCTCTTCCTCATCCCGGCTCAGGACATCCCCAGTTCATGCCTGTATTGTTGAAATAGCCTACTTTACCACCTCCTTTCTGGGTAGGAGCTCATTTACTCTTTATCTGAGCCTTAATAAATACACTTCATAAGAAGGAAACTGAGGCAAACACAGGTCAAAATTGCCTGGAGGCCACATAGGCAGAGCTGGGGTCGGGGAACTCTCCTGCCTCCATTCTTTGACTATTGCACACCCTGCCCCTTAAGAGCACTCTTTCCCTCCTGGGGCTTTCTTTGCCCTGCCCCAACATCCATCCTCTTTGTCCTCCAACTTCCTCCAGGACCTGCTATCAGGACCTCTCCTGGACTCCCCGGTTGCACAATGCCTATGTTTATTTTATCTTCTGCACCACATTATTTATTATCGAGAGTACAAAGGGTGTTTGCCTTTAATCACCACCACCATCATGGCATGGTGCTAGACACAGGAGTAGAACGAAAAGTGACACCAGGTAGCATGAGCGTGCTTACCATGTGGATATATTGTGATTGCCACCCCAAGACTGCGCCAGTTACTTAGTTAGCTAGCGAGCTAGCTAGTTTTTTGAGAGAATCTCGAGTAGCCCAGGATAGCATCAAACTTACTCTGTAGCAGAGGGTGACCATGAACTTCTTGCCTCCCAAGCATTCTGGTTATGATCATGAGCCACCATGTGTGGTTGATGTGGTGGTAGAAGTGGAAACCAGGGCCTCGTACCTTCTAGGCAAGCACAACCGTTTCTTCCATCCCTGGTCGTGGATAGGAACACAGACAGAAGATAAAAAGAAAAAAGTCATCTTCTTGCTCAAGGTCACACAGGCAGTGGTGGGCTAAGGTGAGGAGAGGAGAGGCCCCAGGGGTGAGCCAGGGCACCACCTCAGTCAATCCTGCCTGTGACAGCCTCAACCTCCACCTGGAAGCAGCAAGACCTGCTGAGAAGCCTCCGGTTGAGCCAGCCACTCCTAGGACAGAGCATAGGGTGCTTGTTTTGAGTGTGGTTTATTTGTTTGTTTTGTGTTTTGTTTTCTTTGTTTTTGTAAGAGGGAGGAGTGAGGCCCAAATTCACTGTTTAGTCAGTCAAGGCTGACCATAAACTTTGACTTTTTATATCTGCTTTCCCAGATTATTGGTGTGTATCACTTCACCCATAAGTGGAGTTTTTCATATAACAATAGGAAACCCAAACCAGCAGATTTGTTATTCCCACAAAGGGCGGTGAAGCTTATGAGGCTGGCCAGCCCAAGGTCCTGGGGGTCTGAAGGTAAGGGATTAGGAGTCAAAGTTAAGGCCCTTGGCCTTGCCACTCAAAGTACAGAAACAATGAGTTATTGCAACAGTGTGTCCTCAGGCTCTGTAGTGGTGTCTGAATACAGCTGCTGACAAGCAAGACAGCTCATCTTATTCCAGAACATCTGTGTCCTGCCTGTAGGATGGGGCAGCTGCTTCCCAGCTGTTCACAGTGAGTCTACATCAGGGGATCTCAGTGGGCAGGGTGGGACCTAAAAGTCCGGAGTCTGGACACCACTGTGGATTTGATTTCTCTAGAAGACTTCCACAGACACAAAAAAAAAAAAAAAAAACACTTTTTAGGAACTGGAGAGATGGCTTCATGGTTAAGAGAGCCTGCTACTCTTCCAGAGGTTCTGAGTTTGATTCCCAGCACCCATGTGAGTCAGATAACTCACAGCTACCAGTAACTCCAGCTTCAGAGGATCCAATACCCTCTTCCAGCCCCCACAGTCATCGGAACATATGTGTGCACGCGCACACACACACACACTTTTTAAAATATTTTAAAAGGGGAGTCGATAACACTGAGAGGTTAAGAGCACTTACTGCTCTTGCAGAGGACATGAGTCCAGCTCCTAACACCCACTTTATGGCTCACAACAATCTGTAAATCCAATTCCAGGGATAGAGTGCCCTCCTCTGTTCCACAGGCTCCTGAATACATGGGAGACACAGACAGACAGACAGACAGACAGGCAGGCAGGCAGGCAGGCAGGCAGGCAGGCAGGCAGGCAGGCAGGCAGGCAGGCAGGCAGGCAGGCAGGCAGGCAGGCAGATAGATAGATAGATAGATAGATAGATAGATAGATAGATAGATAGATAGATAGATAGATAGATAGACAGATCATTTAAAGCGCATTCTGGTTTGAAAACATTGCGTGAGTTCATCTGCCTGCCCCACCCTCCCAAATGGTGGTTTCTCCAAATGCTGGGGTTCCCATCTCTGGGGGAGGACTGGGAACAGGAGGGAAGAATCCACGGTGAGAAATGTGGAATTCAGAGGACTTCTCAGACCCAGCAATAGGTGGCTGTGGGGAAGGTGCTGGAGACAGCTAGCTAGCTGCAAGCAGGCTGCAGAGAAGTAGCCTGGGACAGGGGTGGGAGAAGTTGAGGAGGCTGCCCACAGCCATGTTTACCACAGACGACATCAGTCTGAAACTGGCTATGATGGTGTGCTTATGAGGATTTTCTTTTTCCATTTTCATGTGTGTGTGCGTACATGTTTGCATGTGTGTGGTCACTCATATGTGTGAGGGGGAGCATGCACATGTGTGGAGGTACCTAAGGCTGAAATCAGTTCTCCCTTATTTATTGAGACAGGATCTCTCAATCAAACTCGGAGCTGACTGATACGGGTAGTCTTGGGAGCCAGCTGGCTCTGGGTCTCCACTTTCCAAGGCTGGACTTACAGGTAGGTTGCAATACCTACCCAGCATTTCTGTGGGTTCTGGAGATCCGAACTCCAGTTCCCAAGCTTGTATACAAGCACTTTAACCTCTGAGACACCTCATATCCCCAGACCCTGGCAGGAAAATCTTGAGTTTGGGGCCCTGTCTGAAACATATATAAACTAGAAATGATGTAATACCTATCCCCCTAAAACTGTAGTGGGGTAAAATAGGTAAATCAGGGGCAAGTGTAACCCAGTGCATTACTCTTAGAGTGCTTGACAAGTGGCAGCTATGACAACCATTGATAGAAGATTTTAGTAGGGACATAACCAACCAAGAGGTCCCCAAATTTCTCCTCTATACATATCCCCCACATAATGGCACACACAGAATGTATGTTTAGGGACAGTGGAGGATTATGAAGCAGAATCTGAAGTAGGTGGGGCTCAGGGTGTCACACAGGAACAAACTAAGGGTACCCCATTCCTGCAGAGCCTCCCGGAACTGTGAATGGCTGAAAGCAAAGGGCCAGAGCTGAGAAGGGCTGGTTACGCCCATAGGGAGGAGACTCTGGAGGACTCTGAGTGACAGTCCTTACACAAAGGAGACTTGTCCCTTGAGCCATGAAACAGTTATGCAGTCACAGGTCAGCTACTGAGCCCAGCTGTAGCAAGTGCTGTGGCTGTCATCGTGGTCCCTGATCTTAGAGTCCCTGAGGTCTAGCAAAAGAGACATGCAGAAAAGCCTTGGTGTGTCCATAGACGGCCAATGACACATCTGGTCAAAAGTAACGAAGTCACTGTGTCCTCAGGGGGGCCTCCGTGGGCAGAGCCAAGTTACCTTGCGGGGGGGGGGGGGGGGGGGGGGGGGGGGGGGGGGGGGGGGGGGGGGGGGGGGGGGGGGGGGGGGAAGACCTCTGTGGGCCGGGCCAAGCTACCTTTGCAGAGATTGAGAAGAATATGAGAAAAAGAAGGCCTGAACTGGGGTCCTGGGGCAGTATCAGGGTTGGAAGTCTGCGATGGGGACGGAGAGGCTTGGAAGCTTAGCTATCTTCACTCCCAGCAGACAAAGTCAGGGGACAAGGGGCCCAGAAATGAATCAGGAGGATCAGAGGGCTCACAGGTGTCTCGCTGTCCTCTATGACAGCCCTGCCAGCTGCCCTGGCGTCCCCGGGTCCCCAGGGTCAGGCCATTACAGGTGAGATTTATCACAGCAGGTGTGCGGCATGACGGTATATTACCCAGGATTATGGACTGTAACAGAATAATCTCCCTAATGTAATTCAAGCTCTCGACATGGCTTATGGCTCCTTAATGTACCTCAGACCGAAGAATTACAGGAACATTCTCCCTCCAGCTCCCCGTGTCCCCTCCCTCCCTTCCCTGTCAACCCCTAAATGATTTAGGCAATTGCCTGCAGCCAGATCGCCACATCCAGTCATAAGTCAGCGCAGCTCAGTAAACATGACAGGCCAGGAGCTTTTCCCAGCCTATCACTCATCCACAGACACCTCTCTTTCCTCAAGGAGGAGGACAACCTGTGACCTCTGGGATGCTACGAGGGGTCATCCTGAGAAGGCCCCTAGACACCAGGGTTCGAGCAAGTCCCCATCCAATATGATATTCCTCTGGGCTTCGTCACCCTCTAGAGTCAGAAAACAACCCCAGAGCCACAGATCAATGCTACAGCCAGAGAGGTTGTAGGGTGCTAAGATCTGAGTACGTACATCTGTGAACTGACCTTGTGAACTCAAACAGACAAAAGAGGTTCTTCTCTACTAACAGACATGTTTGTCTTTATTGAGCGTTTACTAAGCACCAGCACTATCAAGTACTTCAAGTGACCTGTCACTCAACACTTCCAACAGTGTTCGAGTAGGGACTGTCGTTCTCTTCTAAGAAAACTGAGGCTCGGAGGGGTGACACCAAGGTCATAAAACCAATGGAGGAGGAAGCTGCCACGTGAGTCCAGGCAGCTGGTCCCAGAGTCTGCAGGACTGTCTTCTGCTCTATTCCGTGCTGTGCTTCACGGTGCCTGGGACCCCACCTCTGATCCCAGGTTTCCTTCACCTGCCTTGTCTTCCTTCCACGTGTCAGAGTGACAGCAGAGACCCAGAGCGCTGGGGTTCACCAACCAGCAGCCAAAGAAACATATTTGGAAGCCCCTTGGCTCAGGCCCATAGTGACTTCCCTGGCCCAGCCTGGCTTGGCTTCCTCTTGTGCTGCCATGCTCTCTGAGCCCACACCTCTCTGCTCCTCTTTCCTGAACACAGACCCGGGGCTCCTCCAGACCTCAGGACCTGTGGAAAGCACGGGGAGTGTCTCCCCACATTAGGAAGCAGCCGCAGATAGGCAAGAGCTCCTCCTGAAATCAGCTCAAACCCAACAAGGCAGTTTTCTAGACAAGAGATGAAACTAGTAAGTGCTTGCTGCATGCACTACACCAGTCTTCCCCTAAAGTCTTTTGCCAATCCTGAACACAACCATTGTGACTTGGTGGCTTAACCTTTGGGGATTTGCTGTCTCCAAAATGGGTCAATAGTAACAAGGACGAAATTCATAGACCTGGTTCAAAAAAAAAAAAAAAAACACCTAAAATTTCAGATAAAGTACTACCCACTAACAACTATAGCAACCCACTGCCACGGGCAAGCTGTTCAAACTAGCTGTGCTGTGGCAGGAGGCATGGTTCCAGATGTCAGGGTTCCTGTAGTATAGCTGAGGAGATGTGTGCATGTACACACACACGCGTGGGCACACACACATACACACACACTCCCCTTGGGTTTCAGTGACCACTTTGAATCTCTAATAAGGACACCTACATACCCATTGTCTCTCTTGTACCCAGCAGTAGGAAGAGAAAACCCAGGCAAAGCAGGGTATAGCTTAATTATTGGAATGCTTGCCCTGGATTCCATTCTAAGAACCTCAAAACAGTGGCATGGTGCTTCACAGGTTCAATCCCAGAACTTGGATCTGAAGTTCTTGGCTACATAGTGAGTTTGGGGCCAGCCTGGGCTACATGAGACTGTCTCAAAATGGAAGAGAAGGAGGGAGAAGAGGAAAAGTAGAGGGAGAAAATAATCCAGGGGCATTGTCTGACCCCAGCAGTGAAGTAGATAGGGTAGGTGAGTGGATTAGATCAAAGGTTTAGCAGTCACCTGTTTCTGATTTTTAGAAGTACTTCCCTGGGACAGAGCCTAGAGTAGCTTCTCCTTAGAGACACCCCTGGGGTGGATATGCCTCCAGGTCCATGACGGAGGCCCCAATGCCCTTCCAGGATGACACTCTGTGTGAGGGCCGGCTACCTTCCTAAGTTTGCGCTCCTTTTGGTGTCCTGCAGTTCAGAGCTGCTAATTTAGGTAGAGTACTGATGTTCCACAAGGTACCACGAGGGGGCGCCTTCGTTTGACTGTGTGAGGTAAGGAAAGATGCTGGCTCAATGAACGCTAGAAGTCAGCCAAAGGCCCCACCAAGATTCAGACGGTCTGGGACAGGCAATAAGGGACTCTCAGCCACAGAGACTGTATTCTAAAGACCTGGCTTTAGGTGTTCCTTTTTGTCCTTAGTCAGGTGTGCATGGTAAGGTGATCTCATTTGACAGTCTGATTCATTAGCCCTGTGGAGCAGGTGTCTTTTACAGTTGGGAGAACCAAGGTTCCCAGAGATCCAAGACTCATATAGGGTCACACAGCCAACCCCCAGCAGATCTTCTATCAGCCAGAGAGCCCTAGTCGCCTATAGGTCCTGGCCTCTTCCAGGGGTTTATACCAGGCTGAGCACACTGCAGAGGCAATGGGTGGGTGGGTGGGTGGGTGGGTGGGTGGATGAGTGTGTGGATGAATGACAAATGGGTGCAGGAATAGATGGATGATGATGGATAGGTGGATAGATGATGGATGGGTGGATGGGTGGATGACAGATAGAGGGATTGGTGGATGGCAGGCTCTGTGGACTAAGTTACAACCTTCCTGGGAGAAGTCTCTATTGGTCCACAGGGCAAAGAGCTGAGTAAGACCTTAGCTTTGCTCTCCCACTTCCCAAGTCACAACCTTACATAGAGGCAGCATTGGACGCATAAGACCCCACAAGAAGAAGAAGAAGAAGAAGAAGAAGAAGAAGAAGAAGAAGAAGAAGAAGAAGAAGAAGAAGAAGAAGAAGAAGAAGAAGAAGAAGAAGAGGCAATCAAAGCTGTTGTCTTCACAGCACCCGCATTAGAAGAAAGAAACTGAGAATTCAGAGTGTATATGCAGCATGCTGTATAACCATGAATGCTACTGGAGAAAGGAGAACAGAGCAGGGGACAGGGGCCTCCTGCTGTGGACGCTGAGTGGCAGGAGTATCTGCTGGAGGATCTTAAACAGAAGACAAACATTATCTGACTTCAACTTAAAAACCACTCACTGGCCGGGCAGTGGTGGCGCACGCCTTTAATCCCAGCACTCGGGAGGCAGAGGCAGGCTGATCTCTGTGAGTTCAAGGCCAGCCTGGTCTAGAAGAGCTAGTTCCAGGACAGGAACCAAAAACTACGGAGAAACTCTGTCTCAAAAATAAAAAAACAACAACAAAAACAACAACAAAAAAAACCCGCTCACTGCTCTATAGAGGATGATAGGCGAGCAAGAAGGCACAGGACAGGTTGAGGGACTGCAATACTCCATCGAGAAAACATTGTGGCTGGGAATGGAGCTTGGCCATCATTATCGCTTAGCATTCTTAACTCCCTGCATCCCCAGCACTCAGGAGATAGAGGCAGGAGGATCAGAAGCTTAAAGTCATCCTCAGTTGCATATCCAGTTGGAGATCAGCCTGGGAGACAAGAGACCAAGGGTGGTCAGGAGAGGAGGGAAGGGAGGAAAAGGGAGGGGGAATAGGAGAGGGGGGAGATGGGGAAGGGAGGGGAGACGGGCTGGAGAGAGAGCTCAGCAGCTAAGATTAGAACATACGGCTCTTGCAGAAGACATTCATAGAATCCCCAGCACGCAAGTGAGATGGTTTACACCTATAACCAGGTTCAGGTTATCCAATGTCATCTTCTGATCTCTGGGGGGCAATTTCTCACAAGTACACACACACAAATACATACACATGATTTAAAAAAAATATTTTTAAAAAGAAAGAGTGGAAGAGATTAAGAGCACCTACAGCCCATGCAGAGGACCCAGGCTTGGTTTGCAGCATCCATATGGTGGCTCACAACCATCTGTAATTCCAGCTCCCAAAGTCTGACACCTGCTTCTGTGTACCCAGCTCCTGCTTATCATGGTGCTCATAAACTTATAGGAGCACACATACAGCATTGTTTAAGACAGGGAGGAGAAAGGAAGGAAGAACAGAAGGAAGAAAGGAAATACAGTGGCTTGGGACAGTGACCTACATGGAAGCAGCAGACTCTGGACTTACTCCCAAGGCAAAACAAACAGTGTGTTGCTAAGGCACTGCGTGGTAGCAAAAGGAGGAAGCGTTGATAAGTGCCCCAAGATTGTCTTCTGGAGACACAGGGAAGGGGCGCTTGTGCTTTCCTGAGGTAAAGAGGACCTACAAATAACCCTGTAAAGAGGGAAGTTAAGTGTGGCGATCAAGTTGAGCGAATGGAGTCTGAGACGCCCACTGAATGTTCAGGTGGTTACAGGAAACTGGATTATTGGGTCTTCAGGTCGGAGAGGAGGGGCGATAAACGGCAGACCTAAAGAACAAAGCCAAAAACTCGGGTCTCTATGCTCCCAACGGAACTCTTTTGGCAGTAAAGAGAAAGCATGCTCTCACGCACAATGGACAAGTTAAGAAACCTCGAAACGCTCAAAAGTTAGGGCGCAAAAGAGGAAATACGGTAACTCCGCGCTCGGTCTGTGCGGGAGCTGCTGGAGCTAGCAGACTAGGCCTGCGCCTGCAGCGGGCGGGTTATTTGCTGGAACTTGGATGAAGTGGAGCCGCCCAGTGCTCCGCGTGCTTTCCTCGCGGGCGAAATTGTGGCTGCTTGGGATGAGGGGCGGATCCCCCCTGAGCTCTGCGCTTCTTCTCTGTCCCTTAAACGGTCTTGACTCATTTCCTTAGAGCCATTTACCTCGCTGATCAGCCTCCTGGAGCTGGCTAGGAAGGACACGGAAGAATCTTCTTCCTGCTCGTGACCGGCCGCAGTTGCCGAAGCCTCTCCTGCAGTCCCAGGCTGGGTCTCCCAGATCCGCTGGGTGGCAAGCAGTCCCTTGGATTCCAAGTGGCAGTGTGAGAACTTAGGAGCCGTACAAGTTCACCCTCCTTGATTTCAGAAGAAATCAAAAAGAGGGGTAACCTGCCCAAGGCCCCACAGTGAACCCGGGAACCGTTCCAGACTCCCAGTGTCTGGGGTTCCCAACTTCTTGGCTAGTCATCGTGCACTGGAGATACCCCATGGTGCCAGGGGAGTTGGCGGACTTCTGTTCCACCTTTACCAGCCCTGTGTTTGAGCTCTTCCTCTCTGTTAAAAAAAAAAAAAAAAAAGAAGGAATCGCTCTGGCCCTGCCTTCTAGTCTTACAGATGCACAAATGATTAAAGAAAAAGCAACTTCTGTTCTTGACCAACGCGGCACTGCCCCCAGACTCCTGGCACAGGCCTCCCAGCTTTGAAAAGCACGCCACCTCTTTAACCATTGAGAACTGGGGGGATTAGAGGCCAGGGTGGATCTGTCAGGCCCGAAAGAAGCCCCAGCACAAAGCCACGGTGTCTGCCCTGCCCCAGGGACTCAGGGGTCAGTGACATGGTCCTGGGAGGAGGAGGAGCAGGGAGATCGGAAGTTCCCACTCGATGGCCCCACTTCCCCCCTCCCCCGGCCAGCCCCGGGGCAGGTGAAGAGAGACCGGGCTCTGCTCCAGGTGGCGGGGCAGAGGCGGGGGTGGGGGAAGGCCCGGCAACAATAGCACTTTTATTTGGGACTGTTGGGTTCTGAGCGGGTGGGCGGAGGAGGAGGACGCCGACCGGGCCGCGGGGGAGGGGACCGGCCGCGGCATCTGGCTACACACCTGCTCCTGCTTAACCCTGTGCGCGCTGGGCGCGCGGTTGGCAGAGGCAAGCTAACCCGCCGCGGAGACCAAGACTCGGGCTGGGGGACACCTCCCTTGGGCCCTTGGTCAGGCTTGGAGATCTATCTCCAAGAACATGAGCAAAAGAGATCCCTATAAAGACAGAGCTTCCGATGCGTCTGGCTGAACCCTTGGCCCTGCGTAAGGGAACCCCGATGGGACGCAGCAGGCTGGAGAACAAATCCGAGTGGCTTTAGAGGGAGGCGAGGACTCCCTGTCGCCCTACGGCCATTCCGGGAAGTCAGCCTTCCGGAGGCGTTGGGGCGCGCAGGGCCATGACAGGCGGGGCAACTCTGCACAGGGTACAGCCCATCGCCCGGCGTGCTTCCAGGCCCCGCACTGCAGGTGAGCCTAGCGCCGGGCAACTAACCCCAAAATGAGCTTCGCGGGCGCCCCCTGCCGGCAGGGAGGCTCGAGCCCCGTGCTGCACCTGCGCGCACCCGGGACTAGCCCCACCTCCCAAGCCCACAGGTCCACTGTGTCCCCCGGGTTGGCCCGAGGCCTGGCATGCTGACTTGCTGCACAATCCGAGCTTGTTTGTAGGCGGAGGAGCTGAGCCGGGTGCGGCGGCCCTGAGCCAACCCACTGATCCCATAAAATATTATTTGTGTTTAAAAATTCCAGTAATTGGCTATGCAGCCGCTTTTTCCGAGCCCCGTGCCAAGCGCAGTAAAAATTCGCACTCCGGCCGGAGTTATTTTCCTCATGCAAATTCCCATTCTCTGTAAACAGGGTTAAAACGTTTGGACGGCCCACCCCTCACACACACACACCACCACCACCATCCTTCACGGGGGCAACCAGAGAAGAAAAGTTAGAAGGACGTTGCTCTAACTGGTCTCCATCCTGGGATTACCTTGGTAATTGAAAAGCATATCTCAAATAGTTCCCCCAGTCATATCTCTTGAAGACCAGCGCCTGAACGCCTGGGTAAAAACTCCCATTTCCTCAACTTCCTCTTCTTCCCCTAGCCGAACAACCTACATCATTAAATCGTGGAATTATAATTCTCTTCTGCTAATTTTTTTTAACTTTTTAGTAAGGGGGGGGCGGTTGTCAGAGGACCTCTGGCAGAGCTAGATTTTGCCTTCCACACTATCTATGGGTCCCTGGAATGGGACTTAGGACATCAGCCTTGGCAGCAAGGGTTTTTACTCACTGAGCCATCTCACCAGCCCCCTTTCTCCTCTTATCACAGGAGCAAACTGAGGAGACAACAGCCCTTTCAAAGCCATAGAAAGTCACACAGTAGATGGATGCCAGAGCTCAGACCCGCTCAGGTTGCCCAAGTGCCCAGCCATCAGAATCCCTGCAGGGGCGGGACTGAAGCAGGTGTCCACAGCTTCTGGGACAGAGCCCCACGCCCACCGTGGGCAGAGGCTAACCGACTCTAGGCGTAATAACTGGGGGGGGGGGGGGAGACAGTAACTCTCAAAGTGCCCACTTCCTGTCCTTGCCTGCATGGAGGCGGGGGAAGTCCCAGGCAGGGCCTTGGAAACCCTGAGTAATGGACAGAAGCCTCTGTCGGAACCGCCCAGAGTTGGTTGCTGTCAGCCGGCTACTGAGAGGGGAAGACTCACGTGGGAGGGAAGGATTGTTTTTAAGCAGAGGCGGATGGGAAGTAAAATTCTGAAGTTGGTAAGGGAGGTGGAACTCGAAAGAAAGTACATAGCACTACTATGTTGTCGGTAATATGTATAATTTGCAGTATCTGAGGGCCTTCTGTGTGCCAGGCACTACTTTCGTTTGCATCATTTCATCTGCACAAGCCGGAGAGATGGTTTCTCAGTTGCTTCCTGCTTTACCCATGAAGACACTGAGGCTCAGTTGCCCAGGGTCCCAGTAGGAAACCCAAACATTCACAGCCACTTTCCCATACTTATCCCTCTCCGAGTCTTTGTGGGCTTCCTTCTTTTGCCCTGGATGTGCCTCAGCCTTTGAAGCCATTCAAACCTAGACCTTCCTTCTCGGAGGAGGATTCCCTCAGTAGGCAGCTAGCTGTTGTGCAGAACTTGGTCTCCTAACTCTAGGCAGTGAAAGCAAGAAAAGGAGATAGCAAAGGACCACACAGGAATATGCGGTAGCCCCTCTCATGCATAGCCCAAAGCTCCACAGTAGAAGGACTGTAAAGGGGGCTCCGGTCACTGGTCGAGCGTTTCAGTACAAGTGGAGGGCCTTTGTGCAGAGGCCTTGCCAGTTCTTCTCTTCCCAGCTCAGAAATCAGCTCCAAGCCTACAATTCCAGCTGAACCGCTGTAGAAATGTATGTCCTCCATGCATCTTGTTCCAGTACTCAGGAGGCTGAGGCAAGAAGATACTGAGTTTGAGAACAGCCTGGGCTAACCTCATCAAAAACAAAAGACAAGCAAACAAATCACACACACACACACACACATACACACACACACCAGATTCTTGTCCACCTGGGTATAGTGAGCATGGAAGTTTATCATCAATCTCTAGGACACTCTCGATGCCAAGTACATTGGTACCTACCTGAAGACAGAGGCAAACAGATCATAACTACCAGACTAACCTGGACTATATAAAGAGATTCAGCCTCAAAAGCAGCCAGGCAAGGTGGCACCTGCCTTTAATTCCAGCACTAGAGAGGCAGAGGCAAGCAAATCTCTGAGCTTGAGATCAGTCTAGACTAATTGGGAGTTCCAGGACAGCCAGGGCTACATCCTGAGACACGGTCTCAAAAAAACAAACAAAACCAACCAAATAAAAATGAAAAGTGGGGACTATGCTAACTTATTCTTACAGTCCCCCGAATTTGAGAGGCCAAGGCTGGAGAGTTGCTGTAAGTGTGAGGTAGTTTGGACTACAAAGTGAGTTGGAGGTTAGACTGAAAGATTACATACATACATACATACATACATACATACATACATACATACAAGCCAATCTAGAACTTGTTGGGATCCAGATGGATCCAGGATCTGCAGAAGCTCCGTGTCCATCTCTGACTAGAAATAGAGTCAAGGACAGGCCTCTGGGGGAGAAAAAGGACCCATCAGTCACCCAGGCAGGAGGACAGCTCCTAACAGTGAACCCTCTACAGAGGGGTGGAGACTCTTCCTAAGGGACAAAGACCATGAGAAGGGAAAAGCAAGCCTGTTGGATGCCCATGGCACCTAGTCACTAATGACCTCATTGGGCTCCTTCCTCACTGCTCCAGTTGGACCCTTCTTTCCCAGAATTGCACAGAGAGTCGCTGCTAGGGCCTGGGTGTGGGGTTCGGATGTGAGAAGAATTTCGTTCCTACCCATCTCCCTGCTAGTCCGGGGTAACCCATTCCCACCTGGCTCCAGAGGAGAGGGGTCCCCGACTGAGCTGTGGGCTCTGTGATGCCATTCATCACCCAGAGGATCTTGGGGGATGGGGGAAGAATGAAAACCCCCAGAGAGGCTAACAACCCAGGTTTGGTGAAGAGCTGTGGCTCCTTTGTGCTGTGACTCACGAAGATGATGTCACAATGGGTTTGGAGGTGTGGCTCTTCCCTTGCAGCTAAGATAAAGCAGCTCTCCCTCACACTCCCTTCCCTTCTACTCTTGAGTGGATAGGATGGAGTGGCATGGGCCGGTCCCATGGCCTATGGTCCCCATGGCAAGTAACTTCGGAGGTCCGTCTCAAGGACAGACATGAGCAGAAATGGTCTCAAATCCAAATTTATACAGAAATATCAGAAATTTATATAATCAAGGAAGAAAGTGCAATGGCTCAATAAGGCTCTCTGTGAACGCCCCTGATATTCCAGGTACAACCATAGCTGGTAGAGGCTGTCAGACAGGAATGGGAGGTTGAGGGGCCCTACCCAAGGTGATAAATGGTCGGCATTTGGGGCTGGCTTTGCCTAACTAGTAAGATTTTTGTCAGGTAGAGGGACTGAAAGCCAGGTATACTGTCACATGCTTGTTATCCGGACACTTGGAAGGCTACATCAGCCAGGGGAATCATGAGTTTGAGGCCAGCCTGGGCTACATAGTGAGACTCTGTTTCAAAAAGAAAAAGAAAAAGTTAAGGGAGCAGGGAAGCTGTTAATTGTCCATATATTCTAAGAGGAAAGATCAGAATCCAAATTGCCTGGCATAGGTAGTCCTAAACAGAAATCTGGGCTGAGGGTTAGCTAGGGAAGGTGGGGGGAATATAGAGAAGAGGATGCAGTTCTTCCCCGACCCTGAATCTGTCAATCCTGGATTCCCTTCTTCATGTGAGGTTCCGACCACCCCTATTTTTTAAGAGGAAAGATGGGTGAATTCCATCTTCGATCCTGGGCCCAAGATCCCGCTAGTGGAGGATATCTGGGACAAAGAAGAGGAGGAGGAGGAGGAAGAGGAGGGAGAGGAGGAAGAGGAGGAGGAAAAGGAGGAGATTGTAGACAAAGAAGATGAGAAAGAAGAAAACAGGTGCGTAGACAGCACTGCGGCATCCTCCGCCCCTCCCGCACTGGCTCCTCCCCCTCCCCGCCCCCCAGCTCCCTGGAGATCCTCAGCCTGTGACCATCTTGACCTCTACCTCTCCTCTGTCTCCTCTTCACCCTGACGCCTTTCTTCCTTCCTCTTTTTCTCAGGATCAAGACCCTTCTTGGAGTACCCAGGCAGGACTCAGTGTGGGGCCTGATGGCTTGGCCCAGGCCCTCCCCAGAGCAAGCCCGGTGGTGGGAAGAATTTTCCCTGCCCCCACTCCGTGGATCCTGCCTCAGTCAGTGCAGACTGAGGGCAAAGACGAAGCTCCACCCCCTGTCCTCCCTGGCCTCCTGCTCCACCTCCAAAATGTTGCCCTTATTGGAGACCAAGGAAGAAGAGCCTTGCTGGCTAAGAAGCCAGCCTCTGCTGGAGCCTCCACCCGCTTCCAGACTGAAGATCCCCAAGACGGTGCCCAGGCTTCCTCCCAAGGTCTCCCCCAAGAGATCTACTGTCCCTAAACCCGGGCGGCAGCAGACCTCATTGTCAATGTGGCCTCCAATTATTCTCGACCCCCCCTCCAAGAGTTCTGCTCTTAAGGGACAACACACATCCTCTGCCAAGGAGGCCCCCCATACCCTAGGTGCCTGGGGCAATCCCTTGCCTCACCTTTCTTCAAAATAAATATTTTTGTTACCTTACCAACAGTCTAATACATTCTGGGCACTTTCAGATGCGCTAGCTCATGTAATCCTCACAATATTTATAAAAATCAAAACATAGGTGAGGTTCCCCCACCCCACACTCCCAACTGGGTCTCCTGTTGCCCAGGCTGATCTCAGCCTTGCTGCATAGCCGAGGAAGACTTTGACCTCGTCATCCTCCTGCCCCACTTTGGAAAGCTGGAATTACAGGCCTGTCACCATGGCCACTTTATGGTCCGAGCCACAGCCTTGGCCTTTATTTACCTCGCTCCTGCACGGGAGATATCACCCTCATCTATTTATCCAATTATCGGTGTCAGCATGGACTCTGGGATGTTTATACTTTGAGTAGTTAATGCAGGTGTATTTATTTGACTGCTCAAGCTGTTCCTACTGGGTCACAGCTTCTGCTGCCGCATCCTGTGTCCCTTCGGCACACTCCCGATGACATGAGCTTTGACAAAGGAAAACTTCTCTCGCCTTGCTTTCCTTAACCATTTTCGTGCGGCCGGAAGTGCGAGGCACTGAGAGGCCGGGCAGTGTGGCTCATGCCCATCATCTCAGCACTTGGGAGTTAGAGGCAGGAGAATTGCCACAGGTTTCAGTCCAGCCAGGGCTACATAGGGAAACCCTGTCTCAAAACAAAGTAAAAGCTAGCGCTCAGAACTCACTGTGGACTTTGTGCCTGTCCTGCCCTGGTCTCAAATCAGCTGTCACTCCAAGGTACCCTGCTCCCTTCTACTGGAAGCCTAGATGTGGCTGGTCACTACTACAGCCAGAGGCCTGTGTGTGTGCGGGTATGCCCGAGGTCGTGTGTGTGCGGGTATGCCCGAGGTCGTGTGTGTGCGGGTATGCCCGAGGTCGTGTGTGTCCGGGTATGCCCGGAGTGTGCCTGTGTAATTGGAGGCCAGAGAACAACCGCAGCTATCGTTTCTAAGATGCTATCCGTCTTCTCTCATGTCTTCTCCCTTTCTTAAGAAGGAGTCTTCCACTAGCTTAGAAGCTGCCCCAAGAACCTGCCGATTTCTGCCTTCCCCGCTCAGATTCTACCCTGCTGCACTGAGCACAACGTCTGTCTGTCAGTCCTGGGAAACGGCCATGGGCTGACAGAAGCAGCTCAGCTCTGAGAGTGAGCATCAAAGGAAAAATGGGAGGGTCCAGTGAGAGTGTCCCTGGTGTCCTCCGGGTTGGGCAAAACCAGCGGTGGCTCTGTCCCCATGGAGGAAAGGCAGCATCCTGTGGGCAGCTCCCTACTCTGGATGCCAGGCTTCCCATTCCAGCGCCCTTTTGGTACACACTCTTCACTCCCTTGGACCTCAGCCAGCCCTGCTGACTCCTCTGGCTCCCCGCTCTGGCTTTCCATTCAGCTCATGCCCTGGCAGCTGTGTGGAAATAGAGACATGAGCTGGAGGCTCAAACTAAACGAAACTTAGATCATGGTTGGGGGAGGAATATGTGTTTGAACATGTTCACATGCATGTGGAGGCCAGAGCATGTGTTTGTACATGTTCACACGCATGTGGAGGTCAGAGCATGTGTTTGTACATGTTCACACGCATGTGGAGGTCAGAGCATGTGTTTGTACATGTTCACATGCATGTGGAGGTCAGAGCATGTGTTTGTACATGTTCACATGCATGTGGAGGTCAGAGCATGTGTTTGTACATGTTCACACGCACATGCATGTGGAGGTCAGATCATGTGTTGTACATGTTCACATGCATCTAGTGTTTTCCTCAACTGCTCTCCCCTTATTTTCCTTTCTTTTTTAAAATGCTGTTTACTTGGATCAGTAATATGGCTCAGCGAGTAAAGGTCCTTGGGGCAAACCTGACAATTGAAGCTCAATCCCCAGGACCCATTTTGGAGAGAAAGAGAATTGTCCTCTGACCTCCACATGTGCACGACGGCACAAGCCTCCTCACTCCCCCAAAATAAACCTTAACCGGAAATGTTTACGTTATTATCAATGTTGCGTGTGAGCATGTTGTTGGGGAGCACACACACCATGACACACACATGGAGGTTGGGGAACAACTTGGTCAAGTCGATTCTCTTTTTACCTTAATGTGGCAGGAATGAGCTCAGATTCCCATTGGGCATCAAGCACTGTAGCTAATGAGCCTTCTCACTTACCTTTTCTTCTGAGTGTATATGTATTTTGCCTACATGTAAGCCTGTGCACCACATGGATGTCTCGTACCTGAGGAGGCTGGATGAGAGCATTGGATCCCTTAGAACCGGAGATACAGACAGTTGTGAGCCACCATGTGAGTGTTGGGAATTGAACTCGGGTCCTCTGGAAAAGCAGTTGGTGCTAACTGATGAGCCGTCTCTCCAGCCACACATCACCCCTCCTCCATAAACACACTTTTATTTTGACGCAGGGTCTCCTTCTGAACCGGGACCTCATTGATTGGCTAGGGTGTCTGGTTCTGGCTCAGCAAGCGCCGAGATCCTCCAGTCTCCACCTTCATTCAGCATCAGGGCCTCAAAAACCCTGCACCATCACAGCCAGCTTTTTGTATGGACTCAGAAGATCCGAGCTCAGGTGCTCCTGTTCGCACCACAAGCACCATACCGCTGAGCCGTCCCTGGCCCACAGCTGAGATATTTGAAATAACTGGAGTTTTCTCTCTCTCTATTGCTGTCCCCAGTGGTCTTTCAGGCCCCTCCCTGACTATACAGCACCTTCCACCTCTGTCTTTGGCTTCTTGGTGCCAGCCCCTTCCTCTGCTGTCTCTGGCTTCCCTGACTCTGCCATCCTCATCTGTCTATCTGTCCTTTCTTCCATGCCTGACCCTGCCCGCAGGGTCTCACTGTGTGTCTTTGTCTGGTCTGACAAAGACCAGATATAGACTAGGCTGGCCTTGAACTCACAGATCTGCCTGCCTCTGACTCTCAAGTCCTGAGATTAAAGGGCTGCATCACCACGCCCAACACAAATGCCTGGCGACTCCTCCTTGTCCATCTCTAGCGCCCACCCCCATCTGCCTCCCACTGTCTATCGTTCTTCATCCTGACCTCTTTCTGCTTTCCTGGGCCTACCTTGTGCTATCTGCCTCTGTCCTGGTGGCTCTCTCTGGTCCTTGGGTCCTTTGGCCTCCGGCTTTCTTCAGGATTTTAGAAAAAGTTGCTGTGTCAGGGCAGGGTCCCAAAGGAAGGCAGCTTCCCTCAGAGCTGGTTCAAGAATTAGGTTGTAACAAGGTCTTATAGAAAGGCCATTTCTGGAGCCCGGAGGAGGAGCTAGGAGAAAGGACACTGCAGAGGCAGTGCTGAGTGTCCCTACTGGAGGGGTCAAGGAGGCATCAGAGTCTTGAGTCCAGCAAAATCCTGCAAGAGTGGAGAGGAGCAGAAGCCCTGAAAGAGCAGCAACTCCAGAACATAGTCTCCCCAGAGACTCCAGGCTGTTCCGCCCCCACCCGTCTACCCTCGGCTTTTCCTATTGGCCACACCTGGAAGTAAACTGAGCAGTAGCCTTCCTGGATGCAGTCTGAGGTGAGGAGCAAGATGGGGGCAGCCTGGGAAAGGGGCAGAGAGGGTCACTACTTCCCAGAGACCTAGTTGAGCAAATCCTGCCATCACCCTCCAGGGCAAGCTCCCAAGTCCTCCTGGGCCAGAAAGGCAGAGTGCATTCCGGGGTAGGAGATCCCAGTGCAGTTTCTTACTGTCCAGGCTGTCCATGTTCCTTCCCCAAACAACCCCTGCTCTGCTAGTGTTTTACTCAGGATTAAATTTATGGCAGAAAATCCAAGGCAATAGCTACTTATCAGAGACGCAAGTTTTTTTCTCTCACCAATAGAAGCCTCGTGCATAAGCAGCTCAGGGACCTGGTAGGATGACCCAGTGGGTAGATAGCTTGCAGCTCCAGCTGTGGCCTGAGTTTAATACTAAAACCCACATAAAGATGAGATAACCGACTCCACAGAGTCATGCATGTACGTCATGACACATACATACCCACGCTCACACATCATATATAGACGTTTTTTAAAGCTCAGGTTGGTTTGGCAGTTCACAAAGTCCTCTGAATTCCAGGCAGCTCCTTTTGAGTTATCTTCCTTAAGCCTCCTGTCCCACGATCCAATAGGAATCCTCTAGCTCCAACAACCACACCTACATCTCAGTCATCAACAAAGCATCCGCAGAGGACCCCAGCCGATGTGTGAGCATTAGCCTTTGTCAAGGCCGTGCTGAGCTGCAGAAGGATCTGGAAGATGCAGTCTTTCTTCTGCGAGGGGAGCATATACAGCAGCGGGACTGACAAGAATGGATACTGGGGCCGGCTACTAGCCATTCCCACAGAGAGCAGGTGGTGCTGCAAGTTTGGGGGTGTTTAGGGAAACGGAGAACCTAAGCTGCCTCCCCCCATCTATCTTTCCTTCTGTTGAATGACTCAGTAACAGACATGCTGCTACTGAAACCACCACCTAGGAGCAAGATCTGCATCTATCTTCCTGCCCTCCCTTCCTCTACTCCACAAGAGATCTACCAGCCTTCTCTTCCCTGCCCCTCTCATGACCCCACCTACTAATGGGCTCTCCTTTTCTTGCTCCACTACTTCACAGGCATGCACTCTCATGACCCCTCCTACTTCACAGGCACGCCCTCTCCTGACCCCTCTTACTTCACAGGCAATCCCTTCCCTGACCCCTCCTACTTTCCAGGACTGCCCTCTCCTGACCCCTCCTACTTCGCAGACACACCCTCCCATGACCCCTCCTAATTGACCCCTCCTACTTCACAGACACACCCTCTCCTGACTCCTCCTACTTCACAGGCACGCCCTGCCATGACCCCTCCTACTTCACAGGCATGCTCTCCCATGACCCCTCCGACTTGTCACCCACTCACCAAAAGGCCTAGAAAGGTACCATAGACAAAGCACCTACTGTGTTCTGAGTTCATCCTAACTTCACACTTACTCCAGAAGACAGACAGGCAAAAGAAATCCCCACATAAGAGGCCCCACCAGATTCA